TATTTATAATATTAATCAATATTAGTTCTATTAAATTATTAAAAATATAAAATAATTTAATCATTTAAAAAACTTGAATTCTATATTTTTTTTTTATCAAAAAGTAAACTTTTAAATTCAATATATATATTACACTATTATTAATTTTTATTTACAATATTTTTGTATAGTAATTTTATTTATATATAAAAAATTAAATATATTTTTATTTTTCAATATTAACATATAGTTTTGTGTATATTGATATTCAAAGCAATTTTTAAAATTTCATACGTTAGTTAAATAAATACTTTATTTTTATATATTAGTCTGATAAGTTATTTTTAAAAAATATGATATCATACTTTAATAATTAGATAGTAAAATTTTATTAATAACTTGAAATTATAATTATAAATGGATAATTTATCATATAAATTTAATTCAATAAGTATAAATAAATATATAAATAAAAAATTATAAAGCTTTTTATTTAAATTTTATAACTTATATTAAAAAATTCATTATATTTAATAATTTATTGTTATAATTATTTATTTAAAATTTTATAATAATAAATTATTTTTGATATTATAAAATAAAATAAATTTTATTTTTACATTTTAAAAATAAGATATTTGTATGCTATTTTATTTTACGCTAAGAAATATTAAATTATACATATTTTAAATAATAATTTATTTTGATAAATAATTTTTTTATTATATTTATATATTTTTATATTTAAATTATATATTTTATATTTTAAAATAAATTAATTTAATAAAAAAATAAATTGTGCGAACATATTTTGTAGTTTAAGTTTATACTAAGATGAAATATTAAAAGATATTTATATTTTTTAAATAAATTATTAATTTTGTGGTTAAAATTAATTTTTGCAATTTTTCTACGTATAAGAGAATAACATATCTCCTCAATTCTTAAAGCACTATAGAATTTATCTAAATTTAATAGCTAAATAAAAATCATAAAATAGTTATACAAATATAATATTTTTAAATTTAAAAAATATTATATATTATTTTATATAAATAGTTATAATTCTTTTAATATTTTAAAATTAAAAGATATTATATTTTTAAAATAAACTATTAATTTATTTATTAATATAAAATTAACCATAATAATTATTTTTGATATTAGTAAAAATAAAATATTTTATATTTATAAGATACTGTAAAAAATACATATTTTAAAACATAATTATAAAAAAGAAATACATAATCTAACCATGTATCTTAAATTTCTATTGATTTAATCAATTGGACACACTTAATAATATTATTTTACTTGTATTAATACTTTAATTGTTTATACATATTATAATTATAATTGACAAACAAAATTAAGGAAATTAAAAAATTGAATAGAAACTATTTTTTATCCGATCAAGTTATTAAATGTGATGGATAAATTTATTATTAAATTTTTTTTTATATATATAAAAATTTAAACTTAACTTTATTAAAGTATACCGAATTGATTATTATTCAGACTAATTTTTGTTAATGAATTGAATTAAATTTTTAATTTTTTATGATATTTTTATTTTATCTCTCATTTTTATTTTTAAACAAGTTATATATATATATATATATATATATATATATATATATATAAAGTCAAAAGATTTAAAAGACATAAATAAAAAATAATAAAAGAGACAGTTTTGTAACAAACAAATATTATATAAAACACTTATTTAAATTTTTTAAAAAAATTACTAAATTAAAAATCTAATTTTTTAAAATATATTTAGAAGAAAATTTTTAGAAGAAAAAAAGGAAAATTTAAATTAAAAATTTATTTATTATTTATAATAATAAATAAATTATTAATACATTATTATTTTATTAATATAATAATTTATATTTTTTATTCTTAAAAAATATTAATTTTAAATATATTTATTTAAAATATAAATTTATGTTTTTCTCTCTGTTCCAAAACTTTTCTTTTCAAACAATTCTTGAATGATTAAATAGTTTATTAAATATTATTTATGAAGCCAAAGCTTAATTAAATGTTAAGATTTTTTTTTAAAAAAAAAAACTATTATTTTTAAATATTTAAGTTGAAAATTGTCACTATTTTAAGCCGTTTCCGTTTCTGCCCCTTTCTCCTTTCTCCTTCTAAATCTTCTTCACCTCTTCCCTGTCCTCCTGCCGTCCGCGACTCTTCAATTTTCAGGTTCATGTTTTTCTGTCTTGTAAAGTTACTGCTCTTTGATTCTGTGTTCAGTTTGAATGCTATTTGCTATCGTTAGAACAATAATACATTTAGTGATTATAGTTAGTTTTTGTCTGTTATGATCTGGAATCACTTGTAATTTTTGAATCCGCAGTTGCAACTTCATACTTCACTAGTACTCGAACTTTCGGTTAACTCTGACTTGGTTGAACTGGTTTAAAAGGATTTGAATTAAATTCTCAGTGGAATTGATTCTAATTTCAGAACACGGTTTTTAGATGTGCTTTTGTGCAGTGATAATATTTGAGGAATCCAAGGCTTCTCTTTGTGAGATTTTTTTTTTTAAAAAAACACAGTGTGGGTAGAATTTGATTTTAAGGTGGACACTAGACACAGACTTGGAGGAACCATGGATTTTGGGGCAACTCGTTCTTGATGTCTCTGTAGGGATTGTTTGTCAAACTGATGTATTCTTTAGAGTATAAGCTGAAAAATGAAAAGTCAAATCTCAATGTGCTTTTGAAGGAAATTTAATGAAGAATGCATGTTGAATACACTTTTGATGAATAATGGATTGAGGAGGAGAGTAACTGTAGTGTCAATAATTGGGGATGAAAAAAGTGGGAATTAGTAAGAGCTTGCAAAGTTGGGAATGTCGAAAGAATCGGTTGAGTTTTCAAACATGATGGGGCAAAGATATATTACGTTTCTTTCATTTTTTTTATAGGAGCTCATTTGGATGGGTGAGATGGAATAGAAGAGAATGGAAAATGAACAAAGGAACCATTTAATCCCTCATACGGGTGCAAGATAATAAAGGAATTGAAGTGTATCAATGGAACATTGGGTTGTTGGTTAGCATTTTCTTTAATGTTTCATCCCTCCAAAAGTAGGCAGAAAGTGGAAATAATGGATAATGTTTTTATGAAATTTTATGGTCTTTCAATTTCATCTACTGTCAGTAAAAAGGCAATGATTTTAGCAAACAGTTAAAATAGAATAATTACTTCCCTTTACCTTCCATTCTATTGTGTTCCCAGACATGTATATGTTTACTATTTCTCCCCCCTATGGAGAACCATCCAAATTGAGGAATGGTTACTGGTACCCTTTCCATTCCTTTTCTGTTCCTCGATGACATTTTCCATTCATTTGAACAATTTGTTAGTAAATATTATATTTGTAGAGAATTAACAGATGTGTCTTGTGTCACTGAGAGGAGTATTTTCTTTTCTTTAACTAAACAATTCCCATAATTATTAGAGCAATATTTAATTATATATCATGCACTTGTTTTTGTGCTCATATATTTATCAAAGACAAACATGAATAACTACCAATTGAAAGTTGAGGTAATAAACTAATAATTGCCATAAACTGAAGATTTAAAAATGAATGAAATCAAGAAAAAATTATGGAAAATAATATATTGACGAGATATTTAAGGAAATTATGAATGGAATCTTACATATTCTCTAAGAAAATTAAGAATACAATTTTGTTCTATATTGACACGTGGCACAATATTTTATTTACTTGACAGTGCATATGGTATAGTTGTGTTCTATATGTAGCTGTTGGAGATGTTAATGTAAAGTTTTGCTATGACTTCTCACAATAGGTTCTTTTTCTTAAGAAAAATATAACACAATAAGCATGGCTCAATTTGTTGATAACTCAACCAGATGAAAATTTTGGCTTGCATGTTAAATAAGTTGAACTTGAACTTTCACACATTTAACTTGTCAATTTGTAAAGCAATTTTACACACACATGCATGCAGGCGTATATTGAGGCTGTTAGTGTACTCTCATTTACTTTTTTTAGGAATATATTAACAAGCTATGACTTTTGGAGTATGTTAACAAATAAAACATGTAGCTTTCATACATACTTCTGAAACATGAATGTATATTGGCAGCTCCCTGTGAGTGTGTGTGTACTTGTTTGTTAACAATTATAATAATTATAACAATATGTAAATTTATTATATATTGGCATTAGATTTTATTTTTGTCTGAATAAATGGTCCTTTTAAGTAAATATATGCAAGAAAAAATTGAATTTTTTGACTTGTAAACACAAACATAACTCATTTAACTTAAAAGCTCAAGGAATACATGCCTGGATATTTACTCATTGAGCTTGGGAAACTTCTGAGCTTAAGATGAATTAGCTACACTATTCTCTGGCTAGGTTGTCCATGAAAAACGAATTAGTGAGTAAGTAAATATGTTCTTTTAGAGTAGTTAAAACTTTGAAGGTGAAAAGTAGACATGGTTAGTTTAGACATTACTTTTTGTTGAATTCTTATGTTGACCACAAATATGACCAAACAAGAGCTTCAAGCTTAAAAAAAGAGAAGTAAGTCTCATTTTACAAGCTAACATTAGGAGTTCAATTTAAATCAAGTTCAAAATTTAATTTAAGATGATATAAAAGTTTATCATACATTCAATATTAGGCCACCCTTAACTAAAAAGAAACAACCTAGCCCCTGAATTTTTCACAGTGCAATTAATTTGGTAACCTACCTAGTCCAACAGTATTTCCAGTGCTACCTGGTCCTATGACTTTTTCAGTGCAATATTTTTTAAAAATTTAGTCATATAATCTTCACACTTTAAATGTTCAATCTTGAGCATAAAGGAGTATGTTGAAGTCTCACATCGATTATAGATATGAACATATAAGAACTTGTAAAGATTAAAACAATTATTACCTTTTAACTTTTGAGGTTGAATTAGATCTAAGTCCAAATTTAAGACCTTTTTATACTATTTTCTTGCTCGGCAAGTCATATTTCATGCTCCAAAACTTTGTAGACTGAAGTTCAACCTCCAATGGCAGGATTACATGTAGTGCATATCTGAAGGCTTCTAGAAAGGAAGATAACTTTTTTTTATGGCTATGCAAGATACAGCAACTAAAAGGTGCTCAAATGGCTTTGACAGAAATTTGCTGCTTCTCATTCCAAAGTGAAAACTAATGACTATATATGCTTACTTATGCATAATGAATTACTGATGATTAGTGATTACTTGTGCTATGTATATGTGTATCACATTTTTCCAGTTCATCTTGCTAACATATGCCTGTCTTCATAATAAATTTCAAGAATGAGGATTGCCAAGGAAGAACCATCTCATAGTGATACACAGGCAAGTACTAACCACTTAAACGGAACTTTCTTTTGCTCCCACATCAACCTTTTCAACAGCAGGAATATGAATAAGTTTCACATATTTGCTTGAACAGGTTATAGACTTGATATCAGCAGTGAAGGAATTGCATGGGCTTAACTCTCAAGATCTTTATAGATTATTGAGGGATGCTGAAAATTTTACTATTCACTACCTTACTGGAAAAGGATTGTTGCTGAAGGTTGTCTCATGCTCAGCATCATAAGGATATTTTATTTTATTTTTGTCAGACTATTCCTTCTAATTGTGTGTGTACAGATTGATATGGACAAGCTTGTGGGATCTCTTCCATTGCACCTTACTGCAGTGCTAATCTCATCTGATAGAGATGAAACTGCATTCAGATACCTGTTATGTGGTATTCGACTGTTGCATTCCTTGTGTGATTTAGCACCCCGACTTCCTAAACTTGATCAGGTACATTGCTGTAGGTTATTAACAGTTATTGTATTTTTGTTTTTTATGCTTGTGTTAATATGTGGCAAAGGCATGTTATTTAAATATTGAACAATATTATTGAATATTGAAATTCCTCCAAAGTTTGAACAACGATTATTGTGTACCAAATAATGGTTTGCCAACCAGCAACTGATACTTTATGTAGTTTGGATGCTCTATCTTTAGAGATAAGTGATCTGTTTTAGCAACTTCTAAGCATTTATTTTCCAAATAAGATTATAATAATGCTGCAATAGTAGAATCTGATTTTTGTATGTGAAATATGATTACAGATTTTTCTAGATGACGTTAAAGTGTTGGAACAGCTGATTGATTTGGTTTTCTACATGCTTATAGTTCTAAGTGGATACAGACAGGTTTTTATCAATTCTTATCTTTGCAGTTTAATGTCCTGTACTGTTTATCTGTATTGAGATTTGCACCTGTACTGCAGGAAGACCATTCTTTTAGTCCTATGTACCTTTTGCATTCAGCTCTTGTGGCATGCAACTTACATCTATTAACAGGGTTTATATCAACACAGTGGCAAGATATTGTCCATGTTTTGCTTGCACACCCAAAGGTACTAGTTCACCTCCACCCTATATTTTAGTTGCTGGATTTAAAACTAGTATTATGTGACTGTCATTGTCCATTAGACATAGGTAATCAAATGATTTTCATCACATATAAACTATTTAAAATCCCTTTTACGTATTTCTCAAACTAGTTAAGCTATATTTTAGATTTTTTCCCTAAAGACTTTAAAAAGAGATTTTTGGTGTCAAAAATTGCTTTACCCTAAAAAACACAGTACCAATTTAAGTAGCATTTATTTCAATCCACTTGTTGTGAGCATATAGAATTCTTTTCCAGTCAGATAAATTTTCCTTTATTTATAATCTCTATTTTTCCCAACATTTTCTAAAACTCAATGTTATTTCTGATAATATGTCTATTGTATGGCTAATTATGAACCATTCTGTGACAGGTTGACATATTTATGGATGCAGCCTTTGGAGCGGTTCGCATGGTTGTTAGGTGTCTTGAGATTACACTGGTTGCTTGCTATAAAGATTTTTCCATGGAATCAAATCTTGCAGCTGAACAAGTAGTTTATTATCTCTGCCAGCAGTGTGAGGCTTCTCTGCAGTTTATTCAGTCATTGTGCCAGCAGAAATTGTTCAAGGAGCGCCTGCTTAAGAATAAGGTTTCCCAAGCTAGACTTACTTTGAAAATTTAGAGTAACAAATGAAAGAAGTGATTATGTCCCTAAATGCATATGAAATTTGGAGTAACACACAGGTGTAAATCAAAATTAATCTTACATTATTGAATAACTTTTCACAGTCACTATAACTTTATCATAAAATCTACTGTTGGAATACAAGTGTCTGAGCAGCTCCACCTTTCTCTGGCATCTTCACAAAATTATTTTCAAAGTGGATTTTGATACCTGACCATTCGACATTTTCTTTTGTTTGATGGTTGTACCCCCCCCTCCCCCAATGCACTTTTTTCAATATTATTATCATTGCTTTCCAAAAACAGTGACCTGTAGGTTCACTGGTCTCTAGGTGTGCTTTGATTTTATCTCTCAGTGGAGCCAACTTGGTTTCGGTTGAATAGATTCTATCTCATATTCTTCAGTTTTTTTTGCTTCCTAAAATGTTACACATCTATTCTCCTACGCCTTTTTTATTTGAATAACATAAACTGAGGATCCTATGGACTATTATTTTCTAGAAAGGTCAAAATTGAAGATTCTTGTTAGATTTTTCTGATTAAAAAATTCAAATACTCTACAAACATTTGTTTTTTTTATTTTGATTTGTGGGAAATCAACAAACCCATCTTTATTACCCCTATTGCTATGAGATAAAAAGTCCCTATTTCCCTCTCCAACTTGTATACTTTTAGGTTATCTAATCTATTTTTATCTCACCCATATTTTTATGCTTATCTAGAATACAACTTTCCATAAAATGGCATTCATGTTCCCAGCTCTTCCTCATATTTATTTTGGCTATCTGTTTAAAAGCTGACCAGTCTACTTGTTGAAATTAAATATGGTGCACTGGTAAGCATGGATAGTTTATGGGAGAGGTGGAAGTTTAAGGTGCAAGGACTTCTTTTGACAAACTGGCTACTAGCAATTTCACCTCTATGAAAAATACTTGATGTGGTTCCACCAATGTGGTTTGTTGATGGAATGAATTATGCTTTATACATACATATATGAACTGCATGTGTGTTTTTTATTTAATTGCAGGAACTATGTAGAAAGGGCAGTGTTCTTTTTCTAGCTCACTCTATATTGAAGTTAAACGTTCAACCATCTTTTCCAACTAGGATTGTGGCTGGAATTTCAAGACTAAAAGCTAAAACACTATCCATTGTGAGTCTGATGGAAAAATCTTTTATAAATGCCTTCCTTTGAATTAATATATTTCATAATTTGTGCATATTAGAGGTTAAGGCTTGGCACAATGGTAAGGTTGCTACCATGTTACCTGCTGGTCAGAGATTGTAGTCATGGAAATCAAGGTAGTCAAAATCAAGATCCTACCTAGAATCGTGTAATCATGGAAATACATAGATCGTGTAATCATATCACGGATCACAAGATCCTACTTAAAATACAAAATGATTTTGAATTCATATATATGCATAAAAATTAATAAAAATAAGACAAAATAACCTTAAATTACTAAGTCACAACAATTCCAAATTTAGAACCCCCACAGGTAGCATTATACTAGCTGCTTCCAACTCTAGTAGCACTTGAACTCTCATTACCCTCCCTAGCAGCTTCTTTCCCACTTAAAAGACTTTTGTAAATAACTAAACAGATTAAAAGAGTGTAACTTAGCAGAAATCAGAAACTTGAATCCAAGGTCCCAAATAGTGTAACAATTGAACCAAAGCAAGGAGTAGTTGAACCCACAAGAAAATGAACAAGGAGTTTAACCCTGAAGCAAAAGAACTGAAGTGAATAGGGCCAAATCTAGAAGTAGAAAAACCAAGAAGGGGTTTAAAACTTTTGTTTGTTGAAGATAAAAGTACATCGAACTCGTAGGAAGTTTTACTATGAGTAGATTATATTTGTGTGCATAAGAGAAAAAAAAAAGTGAAGAAAAGTGCCAAAATGAATGAGTTTAAGTCTTTAATCTAATGGGCCAATGAAACATGGGTCATATTTGTTGGTTTTTTTCAAAAGAAATGAGTTCGAGCAGGATTGAAAAAATCGTTCAATCCTATCATCTTATGAGTAAGATCTTACGATCCTACTGATCTTTGCGAAATAAGTTAGAGAATGTGATTGGAATCGTTGAAGCACGAGGAAATTGTAAAATAGTACGATCTTACATGTAAAATTGCGATTTTAACTACTATGATAGAAATAATCTTTGTAGTGGAGGTAAGGCTGTGAATATTTTACCTTCTCCAGTTATTGTGATGGTGGTAACTTCATGCAATAGGCAGCCCTTTTTTTATTTGTGTTACGGGCAAGCTTTAGTGCAATAGTAAGGTTGCTGCTCTATGACCTAGAGGGTGCATAGATTCACCCTTCACCCGCCCCAAACCCCAGTGGGTGGGAGCCTCATGCACTGGGTCACTTATTGTTATGTGTGCTTTAATTTGAGCATATTATTAATAGTACTATCATTACTTTCTTTATGCAGCTACTGAGTTTGTGCGAAGCAGAAAGCCTTTCTTATCTTGATGAAGTTTCCAGCTCATCACAAGGTTTAGATTTGGCTAAATCTGTTGCATTGGAGGTTAGTTTTCAGCCATCAGATTATAATGCAAACCTGTTGAAAGCAATGAGCTCTATTGTTTGTGGGCTTTGCTGATACTGGTTGCTGTAAATTATTGTCTGCAATGGTTTAACTTCGATTATATTAACTTTTTTACCATTTCCATCATTTGGATTTCCAAGTATTACACTATTAAAATACTATGGATTGTTGGATGGTTGTAGAAATCTTTGAATCTATATTTGTGCTATGGAGTTCTGCAGTATGCATTTTTGTCTCTAATGTGTCAAACCTGTGTAGTTTTTCTGGACCTACCCACTGGCCTTTATGAAAAAAAGTCATTGTTTTAACTATCAGCGTCCGACTTATAAAATTATTTTCATGATGCAGGTTTTTGACTTGTTGAAGACTGCTTTTGGAAGAGATCCTGCCTATACCACTACAACTGACAGAAGTTACCCAATGGGGCTTTTACAGCTTAATGCAATGCGTCTAGCTGACATCTTCTCTGATGATTCAAACTTTCGATCTTACATGACCATTTGTTTTGTAAGTTATAATTGTCAGAATATATAGGGTTAACTTGCATTATTATTATTGACTTTGCTTCAATTCCGTTGCTAATAATTTTTGGGGTAGTAGCATTTTTTTAAAATTACCCGAAACTTTATTCATGATAAATGGTTAAAAGAAATTCACCTCTTGTTCTCTTTATGTTGCAGTAGATGCATTAACTGCATTCTTTGATTTGTCAAATGTGCATTCTGCTTTGAGAATTTGATTGTGTCCTTTGCATGTGATTTCAGACTAGAGTTCTGACAGCAATAATATCGCTCTCCCATGGAGATTTTTTATCTTGTTGGTGTTCATCTAATCTCCCAGAAACAGAGGAGGATGCAAATCTTGATTATGATATATTTGCAGCAATTGGATGGATTTTGGATAATACTTTATCACTCAATCTACAGAATGCAAGTGTTTTGGAATTGCATCTAATACCCAAGAGCATGCCTTGTGCTTCGTATGCACATCATAGAACATCACTATTTGTCAAGGTCATTGCAAATCTTCATTGTTTTGTTCCCAACATATGTGAAGGTAGGTAGGCTCTTTGCCAAAGCTCTGCAAATTTTTAGGACAAATTTGATTGTTCAACGGCTGCTTCCTCATACCATTTATTGTTTTCTTTTCTTTTCTTAATTACCAGAACAGGAGAGGAACCATTTTGTTTTTAAGGTCCTGGAGTGCTTGCAAATGGATCTATCAAATTTGCTGCCTGGGTTTTCTTTTGCTTCTGATGCTTCTAAAGCTGCCACTGTTAGCAAGAACCTCCGTAATGATTATTCCCAGACACTTATTTTGGAATCATCAGCAATTATTGCTACTTTCTTACAAGTAACTTTCTTTTGTAGGCTCATTGTTAAGTCATGCAGAATCTTTGATTCCAAACTTTTTAAATGAGGAGGATGTACATCTTCTAAGGTCATTTGTCCCTCTCTTAATTCTTTGTAATGTTGATTATAGCATGACTACTTCTGAACAGTTGTTTTGATGGTTAATCTTGTATCTACAATGATTCATGGTTCTAATGGCATCTCCTCATGCCACCGGTTTAAAATTCAAATCTTTTTAAATTTAATTGAGAAAAATGGATTAAACCTTTATTATAAATGACATTAGCAGATGTTTGGACAAGGATTCAAGCATGGTCCACAACATAGTTGCATATTAGGCAGTTGATTAGTAAATGCTATTTGGTGGGAAAATAGGAGAGCTTGATGTAGGCACGGGAGGAGTCGGGAACTCTATCATTGCACACAATTGCATGCTAAAATGTTTTTGAGGGTGAAGATTAGCAAATTGAATATCATTTTTCTATCCACAAAAATAAAAAAGACATTCTCTTATATGGCATTGTTTTTGCTTATTTTTTTGTAGCTACATGGCAATCAAATTAGTGCATGCCAATTACCTTTTATTTTCCTTTTAATGATCAAACTAGTTGTCAAATTTAAATAACCACATAACTACTAATAATAACTTCCTACTTTTTGAAACGCAGTTTATATGGTGGGGAGGGGAGAGACCAACACTATATTAAATTTTGATATTAAAATTTACATACTAGTCAATTCATATATGGTGCGGACAGGAATTTATGAAAATTAAATTTTGTATTAATCTTAATGAAAATGTGGTTTTGTGAAATCAATTTTATTATAATGTATAATTTTTTTTACCCTTACCGTTCATATTGTATTGTCATATTTAATCAAATAACTTAGTGCTTATTAACAGTTTATTTTGGGAATTAATATTTTTTCCCAAAAAGCTCTCACATCACAAAGTTGCAAAAAAATTAATTTGTCAAAATAAACTAATCCAAATATGTACCTATTTTTTTAAATTGATTGCAGGGCTTTTTTTGGCGAATTAATATCACTAATGACTTCTTCTGGCTTTGGAGAAAATCATGTTCAAGTAAATCTCTGTCTTTTAATCTGAGCTGTTAATATTGTTTGTTTCTGATATATATTCTGAAAACTTTTTCTTTCTGTTATGCTGGAGAAACTCAGTAGCAAATTTGAGTAGTCATTCTCCTGGGATAAGTTTTCTAAACTCATCGAGTGTTTTTACCTGCAATGAATTTAATGATCACAATGTATGCCTAGTTGTTTTCAAGGTGGATATGATTTATGAGTTATTGTGCCAATGGAAATGTAATCAATATTTATCTACCTTCAGAACTGAGCAATGCCTTTAAATGTTAAATAGTAGTGTACATCAATTCTCAAATTGAGTTATTTAGTTACTTAGTTTGTCCTCTACACAATGGCTTGAACAGTTAAGTTTAATTTCCTGTAGGAGGCTCAGAGTACAGGGGGGTGCTCATCGCCTTTACAAGTCAAAAACCTTGGTAAACTTGATAAGAGTGGTAACTTGAAGGAGGGTATGTCTGAGAATTCTGCATTTCCAGGCATAGGCCAGCATAATACTGGAGCTGAAAACACAAATGACGAGGACGACCTAAATAGGCAAGCTCTTGGGGAAGATAAAGGCGTAGCTCTTAAAACTGTGGTACGAGGAGCAATTGATATGGACAAGGATGCTCAGAATGCAGAAACGAGTGGTTCAGATTCAAGTTCTGCAAAAGGAAAGAATGTTATTGATCATTTGGACAATGGCAAGCTCTCAAAATCAATGGAGCATCTTCAAAAGGCTGTGGTTGAAGAAACACCAGAGGATGAAAAGGTTGAAACTGTACAGCGGAGAAAACGAAAGCGAAATATAATGAATGATAAACAGGTGAAATTGATTGAGAGGGCACTCTTAAATGAGCCTGATATGCAGCGAAATGCAGCCTCGCTTCAATCATGGGCTGATAAATTAAGTCTTCATGTATGTGAAATGCAGGTGAACTAATAAATATTTTATTGACAAATTTTTCTTCTCTAATATTTTCCTGCTTTCTGTTTTTCAGGGATCTGAGGTTACGTCTTCTCAGCTTAAAAATTGGTGAGGATATAGTTTTTTCAGCATGCTCTGATGAAAGAACTCTGGTGCTATAACGTTACCTTTTTCTCCGTTTGGGATTATGTAGAAAAACTTATCAAGTCGTCAACAAATTCTCTCTTTGCCAAATTCTTGTGATAATCTTGTTTAATTTTTTTTTTGTTTCTGAAGCTAAACTGTTACTTGGTATATATCTTATTTATCGAGTTTCTTCTGATTTTTCTAGCCGATATATTGTTTTAAAAAAAACGATACTGTTATGTGATAGGGCAGCAATCAAAGCGTAAAATTTATTTGTCCCTGAAGTATTTATTTGCAATTTTTAGACCTTGACACGTTTTTTGGTCTCAAAACGCTTAATATTTTAGTTTGGTATGTCATGCAATTCGTAGTTGCATGTGTACGTCATAAATATGTCAATTTATTTTTTAGTTAGTTTGATTTGTCTTGTAATTTCATGTTTGTCGTGCCAGGTTGAACAATCGAAAAGCTAGGCTAGCTCGCACAGCTAGGGATGTTCGAGCATCAGATATAGATAATCCAGTTCAAGATAAGCAAAGAGGGCCAGCACTAGGGTCGTCTGACTCACCTGACAGTCCTGGTGATGCATCAAATGCAAGAAAAGATCTTAGTCTTACAAGAATAGCTTCTGGCGATAATTCTAAGGCTTCACTGGCTGAAGTTGTTGATACTGGTTCTCAAGAATTTGTTGGTTGCAGTGTGGGTCAGTATGTTGTACTAGTAGATGTGCGAGGAGATGAGATCGGCAGAGCCAAGGTAGTTCAGGTGCACGGCAAGTGGCATGGGAAGAGCTTGGAGGAATTGAAGACCTATGTGGTCGATGTTTCTGATCTTAAGGCTGATAAAGGGCTGCACCTACCCTACCCATCAGAAGCCACTGGCACTTCATTTGCAGAAGCTGAAACAAAGTTAGGTGCCATGAGAGTGTTATGGGATTCACGCAGGATTCTTGTATTGCAACCTGAATAAGTTCAATGATATTTCAAGTGTAGATGATCTCTGATTGGGCGCAAGTGAGAGAACACAGCTGCCCAAATGGTCAACGCTATTTGCCTGGAAATTTAGTTTAGGAGAACGTAGAGGACAGTTTAGGAGAACCCAAAGGTGATTTAGCAAGGAATTATAATTTATTATATAAAAGAGCCTTTCGGCTGCAAAAATGGTTAGTGTGTTGTACAGAATATGTATATCTAGCAACATGACAACTGATAATCTGCGGAACAATAGTAGGTCTTATGAGATTCAAATTAAATTTTCCAAATCTTGAATGTGTTGTAACTACAACATAAGTAACAGTTTTAAGATTGATTTTAAACAACTGATAGGAAACAAATTATTAAAAAAGAAACTGCATCTTTTTTAATGCAAAATTTTCATTTCTAATTGCTTAAAATTAGTGTTAGAAACTAATATGAACATAATGTGTCATCTTGGAGTTCTTATCGTCGTGTCACGTAACTTGTCATGTGCCAGTCCAAATTGAGAATTTGAGATATATGCCTACAAAGATGGAACCCTAGAAATGAAGTATATTATCACATATACAAATGATATACACACAACTAAATATATCTTCAACTAGAAGTTTCATAGATATCCGAATTAGTTTCTCTGTCAACCTAAATCGTTCCTTTAAGAACACATCCCCTCACAAATTTATGGTAATGACATAATGACGGGCCCAAGAACTTAGCATAAGCCTTCCAATTTTAACAAAAACACATTATGGAATACTAAAGAAAGAAACAACCTTGCTTGGGCAAACACATCGTACACTTTCAATTTATAATATTCTTTCGGCTTTGATCCGTATATTATTGATCATCCCTGTAAAAACAAATGCGGGGTTAAGCTCCTATCAAGTTCTCCATTGTTATGATTGTTATGCCAAATGGGATTTGTCTGTATTATGTCAAGTCACCTTCAAATAATGCACTAGCCAAGACCTGAAATTGAATCTGCGCACAGCTCTGAACTTAAAATTGAAGCTGCCCCACTACTACAGGAAGTATCAGGTGGCAGGTCAGCAAAGGCATTAATCTCCATCAAGGGTTCTTCAAATTATTTGGAATTTCATTTTGTACAAGTTCTACAGAAGGGGTTGTCTTTTGGGGTGCTTTCCTCAAGAAGCTTTTTGCATAAATGGCGCCAAAGACAATTACCTGGTAGCTTACAGGTGTTAATAGGCTTTTAAGAAAATTCATCAAGAATATTGGGTGGTTAATAAGGGTAAGTGGGACCAGTTTTGATCTAGAGATGACAAAGAAAGAGTGTGATGCAAGATTGCAAGTGTAATGTGACTTAATTCATTAAGATGTTGCCAATAAAGGTAAAGTATGTCTTACAGCTCCAATCCACTGTTCCCAGCTAAGAGGATGCGCAAACCACACACATGACAGCATGATGCTTACCAACTGCAACAAGAAGAATAAAGTATGATAAACACTGATAAATAAATAACTGAAAGGATAATGTAATATTTGACTTTTCTCTGCTATAGTTACCTGTCTAGTTGTCATTATAGTAGCAAATGTCAGAGCACCAAAAGTTCGAATTGTATAGGAAATAAAAAATTGACTAGCTGTTGCAACCTGTGGAAATCAATATTGTGACAAACTTAAGTGAAATGGAAGATGGAAGGTGATACTTTTATTTTTCTTTTATTAAACAAGGGCAAAAGCATTACAGATTTCAAAACTTGATCAAAACAATCAGAAAGGAAAGCAAATTATCAACACCGTAATTGTACAATGTAAAACAGAAGGGAAAGTTTTCTTACAGTCGAAAGCAATGCAATGTCAAAGAAACAATCATTATGGCGATAAACAAACTCTACTGCTGGTAATAAATGTCCTTGTAAGATAAGACCTAAATAAAAAAAATATCAGATGTCAAAAACAACCATTAAGCCAGAAAAGAAACAAAAACTGTGAGAATAAAAATGGAGGAAAAAGGACCAAGAAAATTCTCATTGCAGAAAAGACAAAAATATACTGTTAGGCATTGCACCGTTTGTAACCTACCTGTCAGACTAAGAATACAGGAACACAAAGTTGTATAGAATATCTGATTATGTATCTCCATTTCATACCCTCTAAACAGCTTATCTTGGAATGTACTTGTAAAGCCATCACACCTATTAGACAGGAAAAAAAAAAAAAAAACCTCAATATTTGACATAAAGAAAAATGAAAAATCTTGCATGTCATTATGAGTCAAGGTAGCAGAGATTTTGAGATTTTGTTTTTGTTTTTCTTTGGTATAATACCTAAAATCACTAATCATAGAAAGAGGGATTAAGTTTTGTAGTGATACCCAAGGTAACCAATCATTAGGAAAATGCCCCAAACAGTATTTTCCCTTCCTCTACCGTATGGACTTATATCCGTCCCTGCCTACAATGACAACACACAAGAATTACATTAACTTCTATAACGCTGCCAGATTATCAATCATATTGTGTATCTTCAACAGCATATGATCAATCAGAGTAAGAAAGCAATAGGTGACAAAATGCTTACTCGATGAAACATGAGAAAAAGAATGTTATAGAAGTGAGCCTATCAGTTGATATAAGAATGTATTCTGGTCAGATTTGCAACTCAAAATACTAATGGCTAGTGTGCGCTTAATTATTCAATTGTTTTAAAGTGATTTGTGTGGATCCTAACTTAGATATCAATGTATCAAAGAAATAAGCGGACAAGTAATGGTCAAATGGGACTCAACAAGTCTGTGCTTGTGCTATCCTTGATTTGCTTTGGTACATTTAAATACAGAAGAATGTGAAAAAAAATTTCAGGGTCAGTTTAGAACTTCCTGTTCTTCCGGACAAGATATTACATAGGGCCTTCTTAGAACCAACACTGAAGAAACCGAATATAGTAGAAGCATATGGACATTCATTGTAGGTTCTAAATGGAAAAGAACAACATACATAAAGAAGCAAAAAACAAGGGTTAATAACAATAATTACTGGATACAGGATGAATACTGAGCAGCCAAGGGTTACTAAAAAGGCCAACAAATAGTCATTTCCCTGATATCTCTTCTGCATTATGAGAGTGCCCCAGACCTAAATAATATACAAAGGAAGAAATCAAGATTCAAAATGCAAGAAAGAATTGCACAATATATCAATCAATCATAACCAGCCACAGCATAACATGGAAGGAAATAAGGAATAAACCATAGGTATGAAGATTGTACATAAGATTTGACATCCAAAAGAGGAAATAGGATTGAGTCAAGAAATCAATGCATGATGAAAGAAAAAAAGAATAATGGCTGGCAGGCTAGGACATTCTAATACACAACCTAAAATCCACCGAGTATCAACTGTACAATTTTCTTTAATAGAACATGAGGTAAGTCCTTGGAATAATATTAAAACTGCAAATAGAAGTTGCATCTTGTTTCACACATAGCCCACCCTTTTACATGCATAAATGATAATCAACTTGTAAACAAATCCTTCAGAACTTTCCAAACCCATATTATATAGAAAGCCTCTATTTACTTCAACCATAATTAATTGTACTTAAAACCAAAATAACCCAATAAAATCTATAATATAAAAAAGTACAAAAGATGAAATTTCCTTCCTTCCTTTTCCTTCTCTCTCTCTCTTGAAGACCAAAAGACATGTATAGGAAAGGCTGCCATATCAAAGGTTAAAAAAAAAATAAAAAAAATGTGTCTACCCTAATGAAGAATAAACAATGCGGGAAAAAAATGACTTTTTTTTTTAGAGAGAACGAGGGCAAACATTTGAAATGTTCAACCAAATCTTCATGATAATTGAATCAGTTGTAGTTTGTGAGGTCAAGCCACAAAATTTTACCTCTTAAGTTACATTTTTTCACTCTTCGTGTTCCCTTCAACAGTAATTAGCCACTAATGATGCCAAATCATAAATGATTGTAAGGAAAGAGAAAGGGAGAGCATGTAGCATTCAGTGTTTAGGAACAATACAACACAATTACGACTATTCTTCATCAATAGAAGCAACAGTAACTGAGAAGATGAAAAATAAGCTACAAATAAAAGTATGAATATATATCAGTAATGAATGTAATGAATATAGCAATCAACCAGAAATCATAAATGTAAAAAATAAAAATAAAAATTATATAATCAGCCACAGTACTACAGTAAGACTTACCATAACTGGTATCATTTTAGCACACTTTGCAAGAGTCTGAACAGGGAAACTAACATATTTGAGGGCCTGGAATAAGAAATATGATAACATATAAAAAATAAGAACATAGATATTAAAGGACAGCCAATAATAATAGCAACTTCTAATGAACATAGTAACATACAAGCTAGACCACACAGGAAGTATGCCAATTACCTCGTACTGACAAGTTGTAGTCAGTATGTTTGAAACTGACACAAGGCAATACGTATAAATGGGAGCTACAGGATCCAATGCCTTTTTACTAGCCTATATGAAACATTGAAAAGGATAAATTTTCCTCAAATTATGGCTTAAAAAATTGAGTCACAAGAAAGAAATGGTGCAAGTTCAAACACTACAATTTTTGCTAACCGCATCATTTTCCCACATAACATACACTTACCAGTAAAGCACCTGCAGAAACAGCAGACGTGGTGATGCGGTTACAGAAAACAAGAAAAAGAGAATATTTGAAGTAATCCTTGTCCACCCCATATGGGACTCTCATGATCTTTTCCTGAAAGAAACAAACTTGTAAAATTCGCTGGACAAAAGTAGGATTACCATAGAGGGTTTTGACACTAACCAATTTCATAAGACAAGAAAATCCATGTTAGTTTAACCCCACATGCCTAAAATAAATGTGAGTTTAGTCTAATTTACGAGGACCCCTTCATACTAAGTGCCTTTATCACACAGCTAATTGCTAAATATGCATCTAGTGATATTCAAAAGTAAAATATTAAGAATACTTATTAATGTGAGTTTATATTAAAAAAAATAGCAGCTAAGGGTTTCTAATTACAGGCACTACTAAACGCCCAAGAGAGGAAAAAAAAAGAACAGAAATGATAGGATTAACTGTGTTTATGAATTAAAAAAAAAGGAAAGTGATTAATCACATTACATTACTATTAGTTTGAAGCTGGTGCTCAAAAAATGAAAATTTTGAGGGATAAACCTGCAAGACGCCATAGGTAACGAGAGTGAGCATGATTCCGGTGACAGCAAATGTGCCTTTCCACAACTTGATGTGTCTCCAATTCCAATCAGCCGAAGAAGAAAGGGAAGAAGTGGTTGTTTCCGCCATATCCAAAGCAAGCACCACACTGACATAGAACACAACCAAACGACGTCGATTTAGAGAGCGCGTGCCTCAGGTTCAGATGTCAGAGGTTTCTTCATCACCCGTGTTTTGTTTTGTTTTGTTTTTTCCTCAGTCGCTGTTTCATGCGAGAAAAGCAAGTTCTGCCACGTCAGCATTCACCCTCCCCGCGAGACAACAACGGCACTCGACTTTGCACTCTTTTCTTTGTTTGACTGAACATGGGCCAGACAGCAACCTCACTGGATTTCAACACCGCCCAGTTAGACCTACATGGGCCTGCCCTGGCAAGCCCGTCCTCACAATAATGGGCAGGGGTAGTTTGGTCATTTCAATATACATCATATATAAATCGTAACCAAACCGGCAAACCCTAGAGCCGGCTTGTTCCTCTGCGCAGGTTTGTGACAGTGCCTTGTTACTCTTCGCAGATTGCTAAGTTTCAATTGGTTAATGATTTCAGATTTTTAACTCTTTTTCATGAATTAGGAATATTTGACAGGTAGTTTCTTTTCCTTCTGCAACCAATGGCTCCAGCTAAAGGTAATGTTCATCTTCCTCTCTTCTCTCTTCTCTCTTTATCTTCAATTTTCATTTTAACAATTAATTTCGGAACTGGAACAAAAATTAAACAAGTTAGTAGCGTGCCTTGCACTTTTTTGCGTATGGGTGTTGGGTGTTGTTATTTTTTGTGCTAGAATTGAATAGAGCATGTAATTTGGAGAAGAGATTATGCTGTGTAAAATTTTAAGTAGGTATATGAATTGAAGGAGGGTTTTCTGCAGTTGACAGTTCTAAGAAGACTGATCCAAAGGCACAGGCCTTAAAAACTGCTAAGGCAGTTAAGTCTGGTTCTTCATTTAAGAAGAAGGCGAAGAAAATCCGAACATCTGTCACATTCCATAGGCCAAAGACATTGAAAAAGGATAGGAACCCTAAATACCCTCGCATTAGTGCCCCGCCCCGGAATAAGCTTGATCACTATCAGATTCTGAAGTATCCTCTTACCACTGAGTCTGCTATGAAGAAGATTGAAGACAACAACACTTTGGTTTTCATTGTTGACCTAAGAGCTGACAAGAAGAAGATTAAGGATGCCGTGAAGAAAATGTATGACATCCAAGCCAAGAAGGTTAACACCTTGATCAGGTGAGGCTTTATGCAATGATAATTAGTTTTAATAGTATGATAACTCGTTATTGTAGTGAAAAAAGTAGACTGGATGGTGTGAATTTCATATTGCACTGTAGACGCTCATCATGGTGTGTTTATGCTCTCTGTTTTACTGTTTAATTATAGGTGTGGGCATTGATACTGGTTTGGTGCAATGTTAACATTAATGAGTTAATTAATTATTGGATAAGTATAGGGTTCAGAATTTCACTTGTGGAATCTGAAATAATGCTTGGGCTTGATTGTCTGGAAATTTCAACTTTTGGTGATATGAAAGTAAGGAATCGTTTGAATAATTCCATTAGAGAATGTAGATTGTAGAATTATACTATCTCGAATTGGATTGAGATGCACATTTAGAGGGAACATGTGAAAATGTATTTAGTTTGGCTCAATATGGGTATTTCTGCTGCAATTTCTAAATTTGAATTCTGTTGCAGGCCCGATGGCACCAAGAAGGCCTATGTCAGGTTGACCCCTGATTACGATGCATTGGATATAGCAAACAAGATTGGGATTATCTAAGGTAGCAGCTGGGTTCTATTTAAATGTTAGGCAGTTTATGGTGATCCTTGACGGAAACTTTTGAAAAAAGAATAGGTTCTTATTTTGTGCTTTGTTATTTTGTATCTTTTGGTTCAATTGACATTAAGTAGACTGTGTTTCAATTTTGACTTGAGAATTGTTTAAATTGATGAGCGAACCGCAGCCAGTTGGATATTGCTTAAGCAGCAATTTGTGGTGTTAAGTTTTAACCTAATTGTCAAGTGGACAGTCTGGTATTTATGGGACAATTTACACTCTTCAAATAACTCCAGCCAAATAATAAAGGATGGTCAAAAATCAAATTTGAGAACCAACCTGTCAACTGGGGATATAATTCACAGCTCAAGTTGTAAGCAAATGAGTTCAGCAATTATTAAGGTTTTTACTATGTCAAATGTTTAAATTCGATGGTAGAGAAAGTAGTTTTATAGCCGAAATACAAGATAAAAAAGAATACTGATCGTGACGGAGGGTTTGGGAAAGAGAAAGGCTTATGTTTGTATCAGCGGAATGAAGCAACGTGAAATGCTATAATAATAAGTCTTATTTTACGCTTGTTTGAAATAGGATAAAATGAAAGGGAATTGGATGAAATGTATTCTACTCCCATGTCTTTTTTCTTATTTGAAATTGCTTTCATTAATTTAAGTTTGGAATGGTTTGTTTCTTGTAAAAATAGTAACTGAAATAAAATCATACCTTTATAGTTATAAATGACTGGAAATTAATAACATATTTTTACAAGCTAAGTAGTTTGTGGTCTTAGATTTTGGTAAAAATGATTTTGAAACGTGAAATTTGGTTAAGATATATGATAGTATGTAAAATTGAAATATCCATTATAGTATGGAAAAGTTAATTATGAGACGTAAGGAAACAATGTGTAAAGTTTCAATCTCAAACAGGTTATATTTTGCCAGCTACGCATCAAATGTGAATATAATATTTGCACATTCTTTGTTAACTTATGCCTGGTCTTCAAAATTCAACACATATGTTGTTCACTGATTTTACAGATGTGCGCATAGAACTACAGATTGAACTCTGAAACATTATCGTACAATTTGTACTGTGGCATATGACTGACAGTGGAAACTTCATTGTGTACGCTCTAAAAACACTTAACGCAGGAGACACAACTAAATCAAATTGAGGTCTCTAGCTGTTAGCTTTCCATGATTCCATCCATATTGGCATATTCCATTTACCATGCATCACAATATGTAGTGCCAGTACACTCGCAACTTTCATATGATCGTCCTATTCCCCATATCTTCAAGGTCTCAACTCACGAAGGTAAATATTCCCGACACTCATTAAATGGTGTAGAATGGGTGATGAGAAGAGAGGGGGGGGGGGGGGGTGGAGAAAGAGTGGGAAGAAAAGGATGAAAATTAGATGTAAGAGAAAGTGGGTATAAAAAATAAAAAATATAACAATTGTCTCAAAAAAATGAAAGGATGAAAAAAAAATCACTTTTCTTTAGGGGTTCCAAAAATTTCACTTATCAAGAATAAATGAAAGAGAGAACTGTAGTTGAGGGCTGTAAATCAACCGGGATTGGACTGTTGTTCTCTAATAGCATGATTTTCAGAGAAAATGGATTGATAATGATCAACCCTCTCTTGAAAGAAGTCTTCCCTCCTCGAAGTCTCAAGGAATGTGTGAGAAGATACAGAACACTCTATGAGGTGATGATCATGCACAAAGGATCTGCACAGAGGACAATTTGAATGAGACTGAAACCACGTGTCAATGCATGAAACATGGAAACTGTGGCTACAATTTGGAAGATGTTTAAGCCATTCCCCTTCCTCAAACTCTCCCAAGCAAATGGCACAGTCCACGTTAGTTCTCTTGTGTTCTCCCTCGTTTTTCTCAAACTGAGACATGGGAAGAGACTTCACCACAGAGAAATCCAATCCACGGCTTTGAAGCTGCATAGAAGGATCATTGGGAATGAACTCATTTAGAACCCGTCTTGGAACCTGGTTTCTAGTGTTGCACGCACGACAAAGTCCACAAAAGAGACGGTTAAATATGCCGCAGCAACCACTCAGTGCAAAAAAGATAATGCACACTAAAATGATTGAAACAATTTCTTCAAGCTTCCATTCCGAAGAGCTGTTAAGTTCCGTAGAATTAGAAGACATTTTAATAAAGATAAAGGTACACAGAGTTTCCCAAGAGTATTAGTAAATTATGTAGGAAAAACTATGTGGGCAAACAGACATAAAACGTTCAAACCGAAGTAGATGATATTAAGGATTCTCCATTGTATTCGCTGACAAGTCTTGTCTTAGATAACATCAAAGGTTAAAAAACAGGATATTTTTGTGGCATGCAGTAACGTGAACTTAAAGTTCTTAAGCAAAATTAAATATAAATTACTAATATTTGATAATTATTGGCAATGAAAAATTTATACATCGCAGGGATGTAAATTAGATTCATAATATGAAAAGTTCAAAATTTCCAAAACTTTTAAGTGAAGAACTCCTAACATATCTTACTAAAAACCAAAAGGCTATCTATGCCGCTTGCTTCAATCAAAAGGAGGGTATGCCATTTACACCATTTGCTATAACTCATATACAGATATGAAGAAAGGGACTAGAGGATTGAAATTTCATGAAATCATTGATGCCTTTGCCTCTTCCTTGATGATGGGACTTCGATCCTGACACCAGAAGTTGAGTTCAATTGCCATGCATTGTTGAATGATCCAGGGTTTTGAGCAGCAAAGTTAAGCATAGAAACTGAACATGTAGAGGGAGCATTTGAAGAGAGTAAGGATGGAAGCTTTGGTTTTACATCTGTAAAGGAATTAGGCTTAATGGCAGTAGCATCATACTTTTTGATAGTTAAAGGTGGAACTTTGATGTCTTGCAAAGGAGGGGGGTTTCTCCATGTAGGAAGTGGCCCTGCTAGGATAACTGTTTGGAGTAATGGACCAGCATCTATCACAGCCTGAAGGAGTTTACCCTTTTGGGGCAACGCTCTATCTTTGGCAAGAGAATCTATGATTGCAGTGGCAGGATCCGAAGTTGGCTTTTCTGAAGAGGCCATAAAAGCATGAAAATCTGAGAAATTGAAGTCTTGAACCAAATGCTGATTGAGATAACCTCCACCCATGTTGTTATTGATGTCAACTGCATTGATTTTTGTAAACTCTGGTGAAGAAAGAGTGTCAAAAAAGGAATCTACTTGTGGAGAGCCATGTGAAAGACTATCTCTATCAGATTCTGTTATGCTTGAGTTTGCTTTAGCAGAAGGGAACATAAGAAGGTTTTGTGTATCAAAAACCCTTTGCAAATGGTTTGGACTAGAGGGCACAACCTTGTTCGTTAGTTTCTGTAGCTCACACCTTGCTTCATCCCTCTCTTGGTAAGCCATCTTCAACATATTAAACAATTCTGTCTTGACATTTTTCATGGTTTCAAGTTCAAGTGTCGCATCCACAAGCTTCTGCATCAACTCGTGTTCTCTCTGAAAAATCAAACAAGAAAAAATGGTAAGTGTTCATAAGGAAAAGTCAGGGAACCACTTCTAATGTCTAAATTCTGTCACTCATGCAAACTTATCATTGACAGTGAATGCACGTTGATTACGGGGTGAAATTTTGAGCTGAATACTACTCAGCCTTAACAACAAATAGTGGTAAATGAACAACACAGAAAGTGACACTTGAATTTGTCATGGTTTATTCTTTCGGCATTAAAAGGAAGATTTGACACCAGCTTTGCTTTTTTATTATCAAATATTCTAATTGGTATGTGTTAGGTGTATCACATAATGCATGCACCAGGTTCAAAAACTGTTCCAAAGTATGAAGATGAACATAATCTCACGCAACCACTAGGCAAAATTAGAATTTAATTGACCAATTTTCCTGTACCCAAATAAATAAATACACATTGCATTTAGAAACATAAATAATATATATAATTTTTTGTATATAACGGAAAAACCAATTTACGGGAAGAGGGGTCAATGATCAAAGTATCCTCGTTAAACAAGAAAAATGTCGCAATAATTTTTCCTAAGAGAGTAAGTATTATTAACAAATCAAAATTTTCAAAAATTTAATGTGAATGAAGAGAATGGACCCAAAACAAGGGTCAAAGATGAAGTTTCGGAACCTGTTGCAAGAAAATGACAACGGGCCCTGGAAAATTAAATGCAGGGAAAATGCCTCGACTCTGTCCACACCATCTCTCCATTGCAGAAGGTTTAACCTTGATAGAGACACACCAGCGCAAAAAGATAGAAACAACATCCAACAAAGTAATTATATTCTACCGTAGAAAATTTTACAACCTAGGAACTGAAACATTAAAGCCTCTGTATATAAATTATGGCAAAACTTAAGTACAATAATTTAATTTAAATGTTACATATATATTCTTTAATGAAAGTTAACTCTTAATTCAATGGATGCACAAGCAATAGCCATTTATTGAGATAAAAAACAACACTTTCTTGTGGTATTTAGCGAATACTCTCACGGGTTTGATCCGTTCAAAAAAGAAGCAAAACACAAAAGAAGGAGAAGGCAATGAATCAGTGAGAGTCTTGAACCGACCAAATCAATCAGCATAATACAAATCATGTCATGACACTAAGTAACAAATGAAAGAAGATATGAATGCAAATGTCATTTAATGGAAAAGGGTCTTCACGTTACATGTCAAGGATGCAAGAGATGAATGAAGCAAATATGCAATGACCCACCTCGTGGAAAATGAACACAGAATCAAGCTCTTCCATGTTATGCATCTTTCTATCTTAGAACAAAAGGGAGAGAAAATTTGAAAGGCTAGTGTTGGGGTGGGAAATTAAACAAAAGTGTAGCCCCTTTTATTTATAGAGAGAGTTGTTACGCGTAAGACTTAAGTGTCAAGGAAGGGGACTACGGAATAGGGAGGAAAGAGTCGTGGAAAGTCAATGCTTATTTAACAAAAACAATAGAACCAAGTCTATGTCAATGAATGCCTAAATCTTCCTCGGAGAAGAATTTGGAGGTCCCATTTTTGTAGTTACTGATATATGATTTCAGAATCCCCGAAATCTTCCCACTCTTTCAGGAACTGTGTCCCTTCTAACATTTATGTATTTGTGGTCAATGATTTTAATTCAGTTAAACTTTCCTCTTATAATCACTCTCGTCATCCCAATTTAAACGCTAGTTTATATGTTATCTCTTATCACGAAATATTTTGTTTATTCTTATTTAACATTAATGTAATAAATCATCGCATCACTATCATTCCATCGAAACATGTCATGAATGAGAGTCCTCCGTCGGGTTCATTGTTGACCACGACCTTATACTCTATATGGCCACCATATTGGCGATCATATGTTAATATCGAAATAGCAATCATTCAAATTCATATTAGATTTAGTTATATCTTTTATCTGTTAAATTTTAATTTATTATGTAATTTTTATTTTTAATGTAATTATTATAAAATTATAATTTTTATCTCATAATAATATATCATTCTTCCACAATTAAAAATTTAAATAATACATATTTTTTTTAATATTATTGAGTGTTTGTTATGTTTTCAACTCTTCCTTCTTCTTTTAACTCTTCGATTGAATTGAAAATAAAATTTTGTAATTATTATAAAAGATTGTAAAAATAATAGTTTTATTTAATAATTATTTTTTTATTTCTACACATAATAGAAGATTCTTATAATTGTATTTATAATTATATTTTTAATAACTCTATATTTTATATTTAATTATCATCACGTTAAATCATTAATTAGAATCATATTATAAATTTTTAAAATAATTTAACATTAACATTCTCCTGTTATGACACTTTTTTATCGTATGAGATTATTAGTTTTATTAGACCCATTATATATAATGCTAAGAAAAGAGCACATTAACTCAGTATGTTATTATTAATTTTTAAAATTATTTTTAATTATAAATTTAATCCTTCAACGCACAAATTTTTTTTTTGATCTCAATAACTAGCATGAAAGATAAAATTTCAAATAAAAAGCTCACTGTTTTGCCATTTGCAACAAAGTATTGGGTACAATATATCTCTGAATAATGAAAGCAGTAATCCATCTATTTAGATTCTCGTATTGCACTTGCACTGAGATATTTGTATGAGAAATTATTCTCATCAAAAGAAATTTATAATGAATAAATAGCATTTAGGACTCAAAAGTATACTATTTTATGCTAATAGTTATCCATGTACATAATATAAGAACCTAACTTGCTCCCTAAATTGGCCTCTCTCCTGCACCCAAATAAAACTATGTTCAATGTAAGCAAATAGCTAACCATAATATATCGAAACCTAAATATTAATTAACGAAAATTAACTTCACTGAAATAATGGATTGCTGAATTTTTAGTTTGACAGCATTGTCATTTAAAAAAACAAATAAATTTGAACTTCATAATTTAAAACATCTTTTATTTTCTTAGATTTGAAATCATGAGTAATAAGCGAAAACTCACTTATTTAAATTTTACATATAACATTTTTTTATAAGTAATTTATAATAGAATTAGTTTAATAATCCATGCAATGCACATGTATTTTATTTTAGAATAAATAATTAAACATATATATAATAAAAATAAATGTCTGTAAAATTATTTAAACTTAATTCTGTGAGTATGAATATTATGTATGAAAATAATAAAAATTGAATCAAATTAAATAATTTTAAAATAATATTTTTATCATATAATGTTTAAAATATTTTAATTATATGTCAATAATCAATATATAATAACAACTATGTATTAAAATAAACTTCAAATTTTAAAAAATAAGAAAAAAATCAAGATAATTTTTGTAAATATAAAATAAGTATTTATAAAAAAAATTATATAATCATAAGGAAATTTTAAATTCCAAAATTTAAACAAAATTAACAAAAATACAAGTAAAAAGTAAAATTATTGAAGTTAAAGAAAGTATAATTTCTATATAATTTTTAATCAAATTTAATCTTACACATGAAAAAATTTGACGAAGAGTAACTATATAAATACTTCTTTTTAATAGTAAACTTTTTTTACTTTAGTATTAAAACAAGTCCCCCATTTATATAGCACTGAAATGTCATTTTGAATTATATTTGTCTATAATTAATTGATTTTTATATCGTGGCATATATCTACAAAATTGTACTAAAAAAAAGTGTATATTTTTATCTAAAAGTGAAAATAAGAAGGAAGAGTTGAATTGAGTTTTTTCTATTTAAAGTAAAAAAAAAAATTTGTTCAATCACCGATAGTTATCAAATAATAGACAATGAGTTTAATACAAATGTAATTAAAAAATTAATTCCAAAACTTTGTTTTTTTTTTTTCAAATTCAAACCTTCTTGAGATGGTACAAATAACAGTAATATAAAGAAAAAAAAAAAAACAAACACAAATTTGTATTGGATTACTAGTTCACAACTTTAAGGTTATGTCTAGTTCTTAATAATGAGTCAAAATTTTTACTATATAACAGCTTATATACTTAAAACGTTTCATTCTTCAAATATTACTAATACAAGTCTCTGTAGGATCAAATTCAAATATTTTTACCTTTACATATTTAAGAAAGTTTAAAAAATATAAAAATCTATAAAAAAAAAAGCTCAAGAATAGAATGTTGTGATTTTATTTTATTTTTTACAATGGGAATATTTCATATAGCCTTTCTACATTCTCATATGTCTCTTTTTATAGAATCATGAGCATTTATCTATGTTAAAGTAAATTATATAATAACTCTTTTTATATAAAAATAAATAAAGATCAATGGGGAAAAAGTTATAGGAATATGAGAAACTTTTAAATATTATCATTAGCTGAATGGAAATTTTTTGATTGTTTAAAATTTTTAATTTTTTAATTTTCATTGATAATTTTTATTTTAAAAAATATATTATTTTTGAAAAAATATCATTGGTGATTTTAGTTTTTTTAAATTTTTAAAAAACTTTTATTTTATCTTTAAATCTCTATGATTGCAATAATGGTGTTTTTAATATCATATTTTTATAAGTTTTTTAAAATTTTATATTTTAGTATATATTATTTTTAAATATCATATAAAAAAACTACTATATGGGTAGTATATAAATTATTTTATAAAAAACCTTTTTTTTTATCAATGTAATGCTTTTACTTTGTTAAAAATATTTTTAAAATTATTTTTTTCCTTTGTCAAGAATGTACTTAACGTGTAGAATATCTAGAAAATATATTTTTGTCTTTATTTAAAAATATATAACTTTGTGTTCTTTGAGAGCGATTAATTTATTTAGTTAATGATTAGATTCCGTTGGTACGCTTCTATGAAAATTGTCCTATGTAATATTTGCATATTATTTATGTATATCGTTGGTTCACTTAAATTAATATTTGTTTAAAAAAGTTTTTGTTTTTTTATCTCAATTTATTTAAATAAATATATTCTCAAAATAGTTTTTAAAGCCCTTTTGGACTTCAAAAAAAATCCAAATAGGTAAACCAATATTAAAGGATACTTTCAATACATATTTTTTTTGTTCAAAAGAGTTGAATCCTTATTTAAGGGGCACAAAACACCTTATCACTTAGGCTAACAAAATTTTTCTTCTTTATATTAATTATTTATAAATTTTCATTAATTAATTTAAATTGATTATATATTGTTTTTACAGATTAACATACTTTTAAATTTATATTTTAAAATTCTACCCATATTAAAAATAATAAAAGTTCATAAGATACTTCATAAATTTTTATTAAGTTAAACTTCGTATGTCTTAAGCTCTTTGACATAATAAGAAGCCTAATAGTTAACACTGTTATGAGAGGGGACACCAATTGGATTCTTTGTATTTTTTGCACCAACTGCATTTTATAGTTAATGCATTTTTTGTACTTTTATTTAAATAATTTTTTATTTAAGCAAAAGTGGAAAATTGAACCAAGGTGCATTGCATTTACTGCAGGGAATATCGATCTCATCATTCAACTTATTCATAAATCTCAAGTTTTTATGTGACTCTCCTTTAAAAGCATTGAATTTTATGAATAGATCCAATTAAAGTCTTTCAGGGTGGAGTGTGGCTAGTCTTTTTGTTGTAAATTTGGACATGAGGTTGTCATAACTTGTTAATCTTTCTAATAAAAAAAATTGAAATGTTTCATGTAATAACAACAATTTTTATGATTTTTTTTTCTTTCAGTAGAATACAATCATTAAATTAGATGACTAGTTCAACTGGGAATTGGTCATTTCACTAATTCAGACAACTCAAAAATGGTAAAATAAAAAACTGATTTAACAAGTCAAAAATCGATTAAAAGTAACCAAAATTGAGTAACAATCAATATATATATATATATATATATATATATATATATATATATATATATATATATAACCAGTTTAAACCATTTTTTTTTTAAAACGATTAAAGGCTCATATATAATATTTATTTATGAATTGATATTATCTAAGCATATATTATGGATTTTTTCTTATATTTTTTGTTTAACTTAATTTTTATAATATATTAATGAAAAATACAATTTTGATGCACAGTTAATACAATTAAAACATACCGTAGGCGTAATTTTATATTAATTACTATATAAATTAATAATTTTTACTGATATATTATTTTATTATCAGGGGACAGTAAAACTTTTATAACATCAGTGTATTTAAAGTAAGTTTTATTAATTTAATACTTAATATGTTTCATAATTAAATATATATTTATTATTAAATCGACTCTAATTTGGTTGTATTTATTCAATTATCTATAAATAAATAAAATTATATATTCAA